ATCTGCAAAAAGCTGGGATTTTCATGCTGAATGTTGGAGAACTGCAGGCAGTTGGCAGCACGTTGCAGAACTATCCTTCAAAAACTGCTTTTTTTGAGTTTGGGGCCTGATCCGGGCCGTTGTTGTTGTTCTTGGCTTGAACTCGTGTGAACTAGAAGAGAATTAGCAAGAGACAGTAAGGCTGTGGTTCCGTGCGCTCTCGTCTCAGTGTAAAGCTGGCTTAAGAGATTCCCGAGTTGGAGTTCCCTGTCCAATCAATCAATCTCTCCCTCCCTCTGCCCATTGGCTCCATTGCTAATTCAGTTGACTCATGGTAAATGATATATTTTGCATAATCTTATTACAAGTTTGTTATTTAGTAACTGTAGAATTGCACGGAGAGGGAGGAGAAGACTCAACTGTGAGCTTCACTGGAGGAGTTACTTGTGAAATTTCACTCGGACACAATTTCTCTTTCCTTTGATATTAACATCTTCAAACATATAGGTTATTGAAATGTTTCCTTTATCTTAGAGCTAATGTGACACACATTAAGGTATAATAAAGTTTCATCTGAAGTCCTTATTACTAAGCTGTGTAACGTACCAAGTTTGTGGGGGTCGGTTTGTTTTGACAGTCCGGTGTCTAGCAGACAATCTTCCTGGTTCTCTAAAATCTGTGGTGTTTTATAGTTGAAATAAAGTGAAACTGAGATGGCAATAAATGGATTAAATGTATATCTTCTCCCTCTCAGCCCCAAGTTCAGGAGTATTTTGTATGAAAACTTACAGGAAAACTTTATTTTTTAACAATACAGGGCTGCTTTAGAAGAAGTAGAAGGAGATGTGACGGAATTGGAACTGAAACTTGACAAGGTAAACTTCTTAACGCAGTGATGTCTGTTCTGAAAATAGGAAAAGATACTGTTTAGCTTTGTCTAATTAAAGTTCACAGATGGGAAATGGCAGTGGCTGCCCAAGTGTTCTGCTGTTGCAAACGGGATGGATTTGGGCTGAGCATGCAGCTGGGCCCCGGAGACTGAAGCTTGAGTAACAGCAGCGGCAGCCAACACGAACTGGTTTTCTCCCCTGGCTCAGGGTTTGCCTTGTGCAATCCCCCCTGCCAGCACGGCCCCTTTGCAGCCATGTGACTCAGTCCCGCAATGGGAGCTGTGCGCGAACTAATTAAGCTTGCATGTGAGTTAAAAGCTAGGGGCTGGCTTTTTCTTCCCTGAGAGCTTATGGTTTATGAGAAATGCATTCTACATGAGCACATCTGGGTATTCGTTGATTTAGAGACTTAAAGTTCATGCTTTCCGTGTTTGGTAGTTTGCAGGCACGATCCCAGCGTGATAGATATCTTTTACTTCAGTATGGAAGATTTAACTCTACTGTAAAACTCATCCTGCTTTTTACCATGCTTTGTGCATACACATAAAAGATAGATTATATATAGCATCTTCTCGGTTCCTTGCAATCTACTTGTTTATTTCCTAACCAGTAGTATTTGGAGGCGCTTTTTTTGTGTGTGTGTTTTCTGTGTGGTTTGTTTTTGTTTAACATCTGCAGAAAGCCTCTTTTCCTATCACTGCATTTTATGTAAAGTTTCTAAAGTTAGATTTTTTTTTTTTGCCTGTAATAAGCATGTGTCATCAGCTGACCTCCTCAGCTGCATTTTGAATTTGAACCTTTGTTCCTGCAGCTGAGAGGTGGCTGCAGTAAGATCTTGAGACAAGTAAAAAAGGTCAACGTAAAGTATAGTTTTAAGTCTGATATATTTTTTTTCATTATTTCTTGTAACAGTAGTTCCCGTTTTTTAGTTAATACTGTAACTGTTTGCTTTGTCAAAATATATTTAAGATATTTCATCTTGAAATTTAGTGTGAATTTTGGTGAATCCTGCGGTAACAATGTGTCTCCTAACTGTCAATGTGATGAGTTTGCTTTGGTAGGTGAACCGTGGTGAGTACTTCCAAGATAGATATGCAGATTCTTGAACTTTGTTTTTCCCGCCAATCTAAAATTCATTTTTTTGGGAAAAGACTTAAGGGCATTATTCAGGGCCTTGCCCTTCTTCTCCCCAGCTTGTTGCAAGAATCCAGTGCCAAATACAGCCATATAATATCTACAATTGTCCTACTGGTGTTTTTTTTCCTGAGACAACGTACTAGCACTCTTCTAAAAACAAAAAGATGCCAAACCCCTTTGCTCTCTTGACAAGAGAGCAAGAATACAAGATACCAATTTAAACAGTTTATTTGAAATACGAGCTATAAATGATGTGGTGGTATAACACTGGGGTCTAGAGCTAAGCTCCTTGTGTGTGAGCAAAAGTAACTATGGCCAGAGAGTAATTTGTCTAAACTTGAATGGCAGTTTTTTTACTAGATGATTCATACAAAATTCATGTATTTATTTTTTCAGTTGTCCCAAAATTGTATGCAGTTTTTGGGCTAAACTATATAGATTTCCTCCCCTTCCCCAAGAAGGGACGCTATGGTTAAGATCACGAACCATAAGCATGAGTAGTCATAAAACTTCTTAGGCAGATAAGGGGGGAAGGCCAATCAGTTGGTTTCCTTGCCCCACCAAAGATTTAGGTACTGCTACATCATTCTTGACCAACATTTGTCTAATGTATTCTTGAAAAAATCCTTGAATGAAGGATTCATTCCTTCATTCGTGAAGGAATGAATCCTTGAATGAACAATCTTTGAATCCTTGAACCTGAATGAAGTTCAGGTCTCCAAATTTAGCGTTCCGGGTAAGGAATTGAACTATAGTATGCCTTCTCTCAAGAGAGCATCTTAGTTCATCACACTAGTCTGTCTTTCTTTCATTAATAATGCAGTGTATAAATAGACCCCTATCATCAGAAGATGCTGAAGGCCTCCATACCGGGCTATGCAGTACTGGGTAGTGAAAGTGCTGCCCTAAGCAGTGAGTGACAGGGATGGAAATCCATCTGAGAAAGGACTGGAGTCTTCATGAGTGAGGATATGATTTACTGGGCCTTCTTTCAGCTCTGCATTTTGCGGATAGCCTCTGGCTTTCCGATGCCTTTATTATGAATGTCCCAAGATGAAACAATTTGTTTTTTCCCTTTTGGCTAGGAAGGACGCAAATCATTTCTAATTTGTTTGGGTCCTAACTAGTTATGTTTTAGTTTAGTTTTTACCCTTGTCTAGCTGTCTCTCTTTTGAAGTGTGTACAAGATCTCAGTTAACAATAAAAGATCAATATGCTTTCATAAAAAGAGTAGTTAATTCTTAATGTAGTATCGATGGCATCCACTGCCCTACCATGCAGCAGAAAGCTTTTCATAGAACGTGGGATTCTGTTTATTAGCCAGAACTAAACTTTTGAAATCACTTGTTCCTTAAGACTTAGCTAATCTCAGTATGTTTCATGTGTATGTGATGGGTAAAAGGACGTAAAACATTTATTGTGTGTGTTTTTTTTTTTTTAAGCTGGTGAAGCTTTGTATTGCAATGATTGATACTGGGAAAGCATTCTGCACAGCCAACAAGCAGTTCATGAACGGAATACGAGACCTTGCGCAATATTCCAGTAAGGATGCGTTGGTTGAGGTAAGTTATTGAAGAGGGAAATTAGAAAAGCCTGAATAAAAAGGGTGAAATGTAGCATTCACCCAGAGAAGCAGTTGAAGATGCTTATATTATTATTTGTTCTTATTGCTCTATTTTCTTTGGTATACGTCATCTTGCTACGGTTGCTTGAGACGGTTGAGGAGAGTCAGGGTGATGCTGTGAATAGGTACCTCAGTTTACTTTGCTAAATAAAAGGTTCCAGTCAGGAAAACCTAAGAGCTGGTTCTCTGAGCTTTGCAAATATACCATTGCACATGTAACTAGGTGGCCTCCAAGGGATCTAGCCCTCTCTAGCATATAGAAATCTAAATTTTAACTCTACTGAGTTACTTTGGCAGTATACATCAGGTTGATGTCATGAGGCTAATTTAGAATAGTTAATTATGCAAATCTCACACTTTGTAATTTTTTTATAAAATTATTATTTTTGTATGATCACACTCAGTATTTGGTATGTACAATAATTTGAATTGAGGAATGAAACTATTTAATGAATATGCAGATATGTTATTGTCATGCATGTTTAATGGATGTTATGTAATTAAACATCTATTGCACGAGTACATCTTCACAAACTAGTTAAAAAACGTATCTTTGAAATTCAGTGTGGCATTTGCATGTAACGGAAATTGTTATCATTTGGAAATATACTTGCTAAAAACACTGCTGTGACGAATTCCCTTGTAGAAGTTAGCCCAGTTTTACTTGTAATCAGATAAGAAGTTATTCGATTCCAAACAGGTTTTTGTTACGCTTGTATGTCAGATAAGTCATCATCAGAATATGTTAGGGGTTGTCATTTCATAAATGCTTTTAAGTGAGACATGGAGATTCAACAGATAAATTCTGTTACTAAGCATTTCAGCTGTGAGGCAGCCTATCACAGTGAGTGTTTTTAAGTCATGTGAACTTCTAATAATTTAGTGAACCTAGGGTTGAATTTTTCCTGCTTTGCTTCAGTTTGGTCCCCTTATACAGGTAAGGTAGCAATAACTATTTCTGTTGCTTGTGGTTTTAGTAATAGCTTAAGTTGATATTACTCCTATGCTCTCCTTCTAGTGTAATGGATAATGGATTTAGTTTAGATCTAGATTTAATAAACATGCTAAGAAGAATCAGTTCCAAGTTGTTATGCAACAGCTGTAAACCTCTGAAGCGTTGCTTTTGTGCTCTATATTTCAGTTTAACTTAAAACAGTTTTTTTTTTTTTCTTTCATTACAGACTAGCTTGGCAAAGTTTTCTGACACCTTGCAGGAAATGATCAACTATCACAATGTAAGTAATTTTTTAGCTGAGACAGGACTCTAGCTTATGTCAACTTGCAAGTTAGGCTTGATAATGGAATAATACTGAAGTTCATATTGATGAACTTCAAAAGGATATTATTTATATTTTGTTTACAGAAATATCTTTAAATATCCCTTTTTCAGACAACTCTAACTTTTTTTTGTTTGGAATTTGTAAGCTCTGCTGAAATCCAGTGCTGTACTGTAGAACACAGTAAATTCTGGGTTGTTTCACCCTTTTTTTTAATCAAACTGGTGGGCAGCAGCGATCTATAAGCATTTTTTTTTTTGTTGGACTGAAATACTGTTTACCTTTTTGCGCATGTTCTTCTTTTTTTGTCTCCTTTGTAATGCACAAAACGAAGCACTTTTTTTTTATATAGTTTTCAGAAGAATGATAGATGCAGAGAAGTGTAGAGAAATAAATTTAAAAAAAAAAAAACAGTAGGGTTGAGCCCTAACCATGTCAGGCAGCTTCTGGAAGCTCAAATTTTTGCATGGGTCAAAAACTGTGGGTATGGTTGGTGTGTTGTTGTGGCTTGGGGGGGCTTTTTTTGGGGAGAGGACTTTTTTTTTATTGCATACTTCTAGAAAAGGTTTAAATGAGGACAGTGTGGTGATGCTGCTGAATAGGTTTGAAGTGCAAAGATGAATCTAATGAAGATTATGAAGGGAGCAGTAAGTGGGCAGTCATATTTTGATGTTGATGGTAAGGAGAAGTGAATGTAAATATTCAAAGCAGCAGCTACCTTTAGTAGCGGAAGAAGGCATCATTTTTTATGTCGGCAGTTTCTCTAGATTGGATAGAGCAGGTAAATCCAGTAGGCCACTGTTGGCTTTTCAGATCTTCAGTATCACACTTGTTGCACTGTTGCTGGTTACTTTATTATCAGTTTGCTGTATGTTACACGCCTTCTGACATGCCTGAACGAGGCATTGTGTTCTTGCTGTTAGTGTATTTCTGTTTTACGTGATTGCAGCTTGCAGTGCTTTGGCAGAACTGTGGCACAGTCCAACTGAGGCAGTTGGAAGGCAGAAAGCAAACAGTAAGGCATATGAAAAGAAGATTTATTTGCAGATTGAAGTAGAGAGGATTGCTCTTTTGAGTTCTGCCCTGCTTGGGTTTTTGGGTTTTTCTTTTTGTTTGCTTTTTTTTTTTTTCTCCCCACTTCCTTACCATGCTCTCAAGCTTATAGAGTAGAATGGTGGCTCTTGCTGAAAGGCACGGCTGTTAAAGGAAGCGAGGCACGGTATGAGGCTCGGTAGGGCTATGTAGGGCTCTGTCAGGCTTATGCTGTGGCCCCGTGTTGCTTTGCTTCAATCTGCTTAGTCCAGCAGGATCTACTAGCTCGATCTTGGCTCTGTTATTGACCGAGTTGGCAGGAGAGCCAGTGGGGAGAAGCTGGGGGGAAAAACGGAAGAAGGCAGGCCTAGTCCAGATGGAGGGGGTGGTAGATGGCCCCTCCATTGGGACCGGAATTATTGTCAACTTTTCCCCAAATGAGACTGGACTGCAAAAAAATGATTGGGAACCACATGAATAGAACATCTGCGCTGGCTCAGCAATGAGAGAGTAGCTTTTACAGCTTACAGCAAATAGTTTTTTTTTTTTTTTTTTTTTTTTGACTTACCTTGAAAGATTTTAAAGTAATGTGCTGGAAAGGTCATAAATCTAGTCAGATCTCAGTCTGTGTCCATTTAGGAAAAATGCATCTAGGTATCTTTCTACCTAGCAGTGTTTTCTTCTTTACTCTGAGTAGAATTGCAAGGCTTACATTTCTAGGTGTCCACTAATCAGTAGAGTTTCCATCTGCTTATGCTTTTTCTGTTTTGGATCTTGATTGGTGCGCTCCTCAGGCACTGGCAAGCTTAAATGTCAGTAGTGGGAGTAGTCTCAGCATGATTTCCACCTTCTCAAGTGGTTTTTCTTATCTATTCTAGTCATCTGTTTTTTTTTTTTTTCTGTTTTTTCCAAAGTTGGAATGCAGAGAGTGTCTTGGGGATCCTCCATGTGTCACTGCTAGATATAGGATAAATCGGGTTGGAAGGGGCTTCAGGAGATGTGTGACCTAACTGCCTGACATAAATAGGGTCGGCTCTGAGTTCAGAGCTGGTTGCTTAGATCTTTATCTGATTGGTCTTAAAAGCCTCCAAAAGATGGAAACCAGATGGAGATATAGTTCCACTGGTAACTGGGAACTTAAACTCGGTCGTGCTTTCCTCTCTTCAGTGCTTCTAGAAAAGAGAAACAGTAAGCTGGTAAGGGTTTTGCTGTCAGTACTCAGCACTGTGTGCTTTTTTGCTCCCACATTTTGTGAATGAAGAAGAGTTATTTGTTTAAAGGAGGTTTGTTGTCAGAGCTGAGACAGAGTTTTTGACTTGCTCTCTCCATAAGGTTATGTACCACTTGGATCTTCACCTTTTAGAGGAGATTCTGTTCAATGGGGCCAATTACTATTACTTTATGTTCTTTCATTTCTCTCTCTCTCTCTCTCTTTGTGCGCCCCCCCAACCAGTCGTGCCTTTCATTTCTGTAGTACAGACTGGGAGGCTTACAGAAGAGTGTCAGAGGACAGATGTAAAGCTTAAGGAATGTGTAGTTTCATTCCCCAGTTAGAATTCCTGGGGACATAAGAGAAAATGGAAGTTGTTTAACACTCGGGTGTCTTGGAGACCTCACACAGCTTGAGGAAACTTGTTATTTGCATAATTATTCCCCTTTCCTAACTTCCCCCACTGTCTTGTAAGACAATACAGAAATAAGCATGGCTTAGAACACTTTAAATCTTACAAGGAGAAGTAATTGTTCTTTGTAGCAGTTTGACGCAGTAGGTTGTTTCTTATGAATTTAAGTAAGGGAGGTGGTACTAATTATTCATGTGTATTACACTTCATTAATTTCAGCCTAAAGGTTTTTTTTGTAGGAAATCATGAGTGTGTTCTTTCTGCGGTTTCGTTTGTCTTTGATTAGTTGTTGGTTAAGCTGTGGGAGTTTGTATATATTAAAAACCTTCATAGTTACTTAAGTGATTACACTTGTAACTTGTACACTTGTAGTGATTACAAAATCACTTCTTTAAGGCTGTTTGAAGAGTAGCGTTCTTAACTGCTTAATGATCACCATAATATGCCTTCTTTCATAGTTCATGTTTGTTGAATAATCTGATGAGAGAATTAGATACCACAACTCTTCTCTTTCCTTATGAGCATGAGTTTTAAGAAAAGACCAGCAAGAGGTATTTGGCTTGGGTTGTTTCCTTATTCCTTATCTTCCCCTAGAAGTTATACATAGGTTTTTATTGTGTTCTAGCTAGTCTTCTGCAAAATCCTTCTCTGCACTGAGAAGGATTGTATATTTTGATAGTAAAGAATCATTGGTTAAGTAATAGTTCTCTTCTAATCCTACATAGTAAACATGTATATGTTTACAAGAACTGTACCTCGAGTTGCTATGGTTTTGACCTATGAACCAAAAAACAAATCTTCTTGGCGCTTAAGTACTTAAATTAGTTTCCTGATCTTGGATTAAACCTTAATTGGCATATATCCAGATCGCACCCTCAAGTATGTAGTTCAACATGTCACCTAAACAGAGACAGCCAGTCACGTTTGGAAGACAAGACCTGTAATTGAGGGATAATGCAGGTCAAAGTTGGATTGTATCAGTGAGGCTGTGCAAATAATTTGCAATGCCAGGTAATGCTGCACTTGAACTTAATTCCAGGGGTCAATAGAACAGCCTAGAACTGGACGTATCCTCTCTCTAGCATCTCTCGCTCAGTTCAGAATTACTTTGGTGAAGCAATTCCAGTCTACTTTTTTGTGACGTTCTGACACGCTGACTCTTGAGCGTATATGGCAGCATGCAGCCCATACTGTGCCAACAGTGTGGTGCTGGAAATAGACCTGCAACAACACTGGTTTCCGCACACTGACGCAAACCTGTCCTTTTCAAAGGTATTCTGAAAAGGACTTTCTCAAGTGACTTAATAGTGCTGGAAGAGTGTTGCCCTGTTCCTCAAAATACGCTGTTGTGGAGAGTGCTGCCTCTTTCTCAGGGGAGCTCAAATAACTATTATTTTTGGTATAGGATCAAGGTAAAATAACTTAAATAATTTTTTTTCTCATTGTTCTACTTCATGCTTTCTTGTATACGTGTTGATGTGAACATAGAGCAAGATGGCTAGCCTGGGTTTATGCCAAACCTACTCTTAGTTCTGTTTGTTTTTTTGTTTTGCCACACAGTGGATTTCTGGCAAAGATTTTTTTCAAGCCAGGTGTTTTTAATCCCAGAAGTGACATATAATGTGAGAAAAGTATTCAGTGTGACACACAGAGTAAATTCAGAAACTACTGTATGAGGTCAAGAGCTTTCAAAAAGGTGAGGGAAAGGTTTAGAAACACATAAAAGCATTTAGTGGCTCCTAATTAGCATCTGTACGTATGTTGAAAATGAAAAGCTATGAATACCCCCAAATTACCGAACTAAATATTAATGCTTTTCTTTCAGATCCTGTTTGACCAAATCCAAAGATCAATTAAAGCACAACTTCAGAGTTTTGTTAAAGAGTAAGTTATTTTTCACTTATAATGGAAAAAATCACTGGTAAAATTGGATTAGAAAAATAAATTTCTGAGTGGGTTGGTGAAGCATTTTTAAAATCACCAGCCATAAGTTGAAAGGTATATATTAAAGCCTTGTCAAAAATCTCCCCAAACCAGGAAGGCTTTAGATCCAGCTGAAGACATGCTAAAATTGAAGCGATGTATGCTATTGATCTTAAATTGCATGTTGTTTTTGTCGAAGCAAAAAAAAAAAAAAAGTTTGCCAAAGTTTTTCCCAGTGATTGGGAGCTGTGCTTTTCTAAATACCAGTTTTACCTTTCCTCAAAAGAAGAGGAAAGCAGGGCTTCCATCCTGCTGCTTGTGATTTGCATCTGATAAGTCATAAATGTCTTCTGTTTAATTCATCTGTATTTTCTCCTGCGCTTTGCAATTCATTTGTCATCCTTTCTTTTTTAATTGTCTCTAGAGACATTAGGAAATTTAAAGATGCGAAGAAACAGTTTGAGAAAGTTAGTGAAGAAAAAGAGAATGCTCTCGTAAAAAATGCCCAAGTGCAAAGAAATAAGCAGCATGAGGTAGAGGAGGCAACCAATATTTTGACTGCAACACGGAAATGTTTTCGGCACATAGCTCTGGATTATGTTCTTCAGGTAAGTGCAGTGATAAAAGTTATCTTTCAAAACCATCTGTTACATATGATTAGAGCCAAGTCTTTCAGAAGTTCTTCCTCAGAAGGTATGGAAGTTATCAATGTGTAAGAAACAGTTTTTAAGACTGCAGATGGGGGGGGTGATATTTTTATATGAAACCTGAGCAGTTAATTTACCTGATGCATCCTTACAGCTTAATGCTATGCTATTCTGTGCCGTTGCTGCAGTAGCACAGATTTCAGTTTAAACATTGCTAGTACTGTTTCTTCAAAATAAACTGATCTAATACACGCTTAAATATATTTTGTGTTGGGTATGCTGTAAGTCATTACGTATTTGAAATAAACTGTAACCTAGCCTAGCAATTAGAAATAACCTGAATGCTTCTGATCTAGTGTGCTGACCACTACTGTGATTTCAGTTGCTCAACAAATCTCCTACTTGTCTAGGAAGCTGGGAGTTTGGCACTGTCATTGAATTCTCTCATGGCACATAGTTATGGTTTTGCTTTATAGTATAGATCTGCTATAGGGTGTTAGGAGGTGGTCTGTGTCCTATTTTGAAGCCTGTGAAATTTTCTGTGGACTCTTCTAATTCACGTGTTTCATCGTTGCGTAATCCTATCTTGCTCTAGTTACCTGTAACTCAGGTGATTCCTGTCCCTCCTACTGCCTAATATGTCTAGGGTTCACATATGTTCATACAAACACAAAACAGCCCTTTAAAGTTATCATTTTTATATTAGAAATTCTTATCTTGATTGTGACAGTCCGATAGGTTATCTGAAGTTTAGTTAACGTAACTGTTGTTTAAATTATGCAGTTTAAAGCTGTTAAATTACCTGTTAAATAAAATTAATTACCTGTTAAATAAAACGGAAATTTGCAAAACCTGTACTAGAGCTCTCATAGCTCTGGTCAAGCAAGGCATGCACACAGACGTTGTCAGTGGTCAGCACTGAACTTCGTCTTGCAAGTGCTGAGCACAGAATTCGTTTCTCTGTTTAAAAAGTCATGTGACTTATGTACCACTTCAGTATTTGTGCTGCCGTTGTTTCCGTGGGCCTAAGTGGGGATCTGTCGCGCTGCGCAGCTGAGCATGCCCACTCCTACAATCCCGCCTGAAGTTTTGGGAGATCAGATTGTTACAGCGTTTGACTTTTCCCTGTTAGCCTGCTTACAGGGAGCTAGTCACGGCGTGCCAGCTGCTGAAAGGCATGATGTGGTCTGGATAAGTGTGGTAGGAAGAGGTTGGATTTGACCCAGGGCACCATTTCCGTTCCTCTGAATCCCCTGCTCATGGTTAAATTTCGAAACCGAGTGGATTAGACTGGTGCACTGGAGACGTACTCAACAGAAATCTGAATTTAGCGCCTCTCACCTGAGCTTGCTTTTATTACTCTGAGAGGGAACGTTTCTCCTCTTTGCGCCCCCGGCGTGAGTCCCTGGCTCCTGAGGTGCGTGCCGCAAGGCTGGCGCTGGGCTGTCCCGCGGGGGCACCCGTGGGGCTGGCCGGAGGCGGCAGCAGGGTCTGCCGGGATCGGGGAGCTGGGGCGGCTGCCGCCCTGCGCGTGCCTCCTGGCCCCTGCCTGCTGCTGCCTGTTGGCTCCTGCAGCGCTGGGAGAGCCGAGCGGGGTCTTGCAGCCCTTCGTGGAGAAGGAGGGGAAAATCTACGCTGGTTAGGGGAAAACAGCGGCAGCGAGGCCTGTCCTGGGGGTGGGAGAAAAAGCTGGAAATTGCTGCTGCAGGCAGTTGGTTGTGTGTTTATTGAACTGCCGCTCGTTTGCTGTTGGGAACTTGTATGTTTTAAAGTGTTAACAATTCCTATAATAAAGGTGCATTATTAAATGAGAAAGTTTCAGCGTTTAACTTAATACAGGTAAAAAATGAATTCAGCTTTAGGAGACCCTCTTACGTGGGTGACTCCCTTCTGCTGGAAAAGTGACTTTGCAGCTATAGTCTCTTTGTAGCTATATTGGCTTTAAACTGTATTTCGTTACCTTTGCTTTCCCTTTATTTTACTTTTCCTCAGAGTTGAGTGTTTGTTCTATATAAAGAAATCTTAATGATTTTTGTTACAGAAGGTTTTCCAAAATGCTAACTCTTTAGGTAGAGAAGTACAATCTGGTTATGATTATAGTTTCAGTAGGCTTTTCATTTGCTGGAGTCTCTAAACAGACATGCAGCGGTATTAAATTCTGGAAGTATGGATATTTCTGTTAAATGGTGCTTTTAAGTAAAAGCTCTAGTTCTGTCTGGCATCTTTAAATTAGGGACTAGGGAAAGGAGCATTAGGTGAATGTGAAAAATCAGGTATGTCCTTTTTCTGTTTCACGTGAAAGACTTCAAGTTCTAGGGCAGTGCTGCTGGTCAGTGACTTCAGCCAGCTTAAAAGAGCAAATACATGTGAAATGCTCCTCGTTGAAGATATTGTGATCTCGTTCATTTCCGTGGCTGGGGCTCTGTCCCGGTTCTGGGACTCTTCCGAGAGCATCAACCTCGGGGCGGGTGGGGGGGGGGGGAGGCCACCAAAAAAAAGTCTCACCCCATATAAGTCTCACCCCCTTTCCTAGGGGGAAAAAGGCAGTGGTGCTGACTGCACCTCCTTCAAGGAGAAGCTGCGGGACTGGTTTGACTCACACGGTCAAAAAACAATATTTGAAACAAGCGTTGAATTTGATTTCTTGAAGATGAGTACCACATTTTCTTGCTTTGCAGGTGTATTATGTTACTTCTGGATGACACATCACGTCTGAATTGTTTTCCCCTCTAATATAAGGGCTTCGTGACTATCATTGTGAAAATATACCTTTACAAGCTGTTTCTCCGAAATGAGCCACTTATCTTGGTGGCAAATTTAGTGTGCATTTTCTACTGCTATAAAAATGCTCTACGTAGTCAGATACTGAGTTATGTTCTTCTGATGTTTTAAGCTTTGATATGCTTATTTAGAAGTAATTCATAGTTTGCTTCTGTGAGGGAAAATTTAAGTGAACAAAATGAGTTGCTTTTTTTTTCCCCTAGATCAATGTTCTTCAGTCTAAAAGGAGATCAGAAATCTTAAAATCGGTAAGATATATTTTAATTTCTATATAGACAATACTGTAGTGAATCTGATGCAAAATTTACAGATGTGACTGCAAAGCAGTATGTACAAAATAGGTTTGTCCTTTTCTCCATCATAACATTACCAGTACAGTTGGCACATTGCTGATAGTCACTTTGACTTTTACGATAATTGGGTATGTATACTAAATTACTTTTGGCAATCCTTTTGGTTCGAGTGTGAACGCTTTCCTAAGGTTTTCATTGCCGCTGCCTCTTTGCTATGTGCGTCATGATTAAAACAGAGGACTTTATTTACCAAGGAGTCTTGTCTTTGGGACTACTATATTTATTTATAAACAATGAGCGCTTCCTACAATCTATTTCTAAAATGGATTCAGCCCTTTCTTCAAAAATAGTATTCTTATTTTATATAAGCAGCTTAGAATCAGCTAGCATGTAGTATGGACTGAATTAATACACAGTTTCAGGTGCATGCTTCTTTTCTTCTGATCGTTTTCCTCTGTCGGCGTCTTCATATCATCTCTGTAAAAGGCTTATTGCTGCAGAGACTGCTAAACTGAATGGTGCCTTTCTTTAAAAGGGCTAGTTCTGCTCCCATAATTTTCTTAATTCCTTTAAATAGCAAAAACTTCGGATCACAGCTTCACAGCTGTTTACCTTTGTACTCTGTATCCTTCCAACTTGTTTCGTTTTGTAAGACTGTTATTTTGTTTAAGACCATCTTGGCTGTGTTCATAGAGGTCATGGTTTTGGATCATTAGTAAACAAATTCTGTACCCTCTCTTTATGTTACCTCTCCTAGTTAAACGGGAGTTAATAAAAGTTTTAGATAATATGAATTAGAAGCCATTTTCTTTCCTTAATGAGACTTTATTTCAGTTGATAGGGTCAATACTAATAACTAATTTCTAAGATTTGTGACTCTGCATTTTGCTGCCTTAACCTTGCATACTTATTTATACCACTGGAAGCTGTACAAGGAATTGATGTAAACTGCAAGGATAAACAAAATAGAAATCTTACCTTGTGCTCTTATTTTTTTTAAAGTTTGTTCATGTGAATTAGTTAAGGGAGATGCTTATGTAATATCTGATAAATATTTAAGCTTTTTATCTAAATACTTGTTATTCTTCCTTCTAGATGTTATCGTTTATGTATGCTCATCTGGCTTTTTTCCATCAAGGCTATGATCTCTTCAGTGAGCTTGGGCCCTACATGAAAGATCTTGGCGCACAGGTAACAAAAGTTACTTTATAAGCTCATAAATATACCCTGGAGTGAAAGAAAACTCTGTGTGTGTGTGTGTATGTGTCAGGTACATTGTAGGCTTATTTGACAAAAGAGTGAACTCTACAGTGTGACAAAGATAGAGGCAAAGCATAAAAATACACTTTAAAAGTTTTTTAAATTAAAACTGTAGGAATTAAAAGTTGACAGTTCTTCTAAAAACGTTGTATACTATATAAATTATGCTGTGTGCCAGAGCTAAAACTAGTGTTAGCAACTTAGTGACACGATAAAAGTGAAGTTTAATAAGTAGTGCAAAACTAATTTTGTATATTGAGTCCTCCTTGCCCAGGTTTGTTTTTCAGGCCTAAGAACATAGAATTGTAACTTTTGGCTTCTCAGAGAGGCTCATAAAAAGGCTGGACTGACCACAGCCAACTGCACTCAGGAAATACTGAAAATAGTTGTACAAAATGGATTAAGAGCATATGGTATGGAACTGAAGATGTGCCTGTGGTGCAAGAAAAAAAACTTAAAGCAGTGTAACTTGACTTGTTTTCAACAGAGGTTGAATGGACCTAGAAATACTTGTATACTTTTCTTCCTCTCTCTAAGGATTTGGAACAACTGCACTGACACAAAAGCCTTTGTTCTTCCCACTTCCCAACTTAATCCACTCAACAAAGCCACCACTCACCCCGAATCCTAAATGTCAGTCCATATACAGAAACAAATAGGTGACAGCAAACACATATTTGTATTCATCTCAAGTACGTGCTTCTCAGTGTCTATGAAATTACATTGTTTATTTGGGGCTGATTTTTAAACGGTTCCTGCTCCTGGCAGCTTGTTCCTGCTGCTATGCTCTTGTCACCTGTGCGCTCCAGCCTGTTTGTGTGGCTGCGCAGTGAAATAGATTGGGAACTGTAGAAAATAACCCACGGAATTAGAAGTCCACATAGTTATTTTTCTGCTAGGTTAGTTCTCTAATCTGGTTCACAGTGTGTCTTCATAAATACTTGTGCAGACACAAGTCAGGGAAATGTGTGTGTTTGTGTGCACGCACGCGTACGTGGGCTGCCATTGTTATCAAGAAGAGAAGTACCCGTGCACCTAGAGCCCTCAGGGTTTTGTGTAATAGCAGCGCTTAGGTTCAGGTACGCATGACCCTTTTGTTAGTTGATGCTGTTTCTCTTATTTTTTTTTTCGCATCCTTCCATTTTAAGTTATAATTGTTGAACTGCAGTGTTCTGATGATACAGAATGTCGTCTTTACTTTCTATTTAGAAGAGGTGGTGGGCAAAGAAGAGTAAAACTATGTAATTAGTAGTATTGAATGCTACCAGCTAGGCTTTAATGTTTCCGTTTCAGTGAGGCTTGAGTAAGGAACATAAGGTTATTTTTTGAATGGCTGGTCATGCTTTTGCTTGATCTGGAAAGGAATGTTGTGTAACACTTTCAGTTTGGCGCTGGTATCATAGCAACTGAAGGAGTTAAACGTTCTCAGCTTCGGATTTTCTAAATTTAAAACATACTGCAAATGGAGCAAACTGAAAGTGGAGACCCTAAAGTTGTACAGCTTGCTGAATTATTTTCCTGTGTTCTGCCTTTAGCATTTAAGTAATGGATATTTTTCAGTGGAGAAGCAGACTTGTGAATATCCCATGAAAAATTAAGTTAACAGTTTTACAATTTGTATTGATTGGAGTTTCTGCCTTTAAAAGTCAGAGAGAAGATATGCCTTCATGGCAAAATAGACAGGGTTTTATTGGTATGTGAAGTTTTTTTCCCCCTGAAAACCCTATTAGATTCTTTCTGTTGGCAAGTGAATTTTCATTTCCAGCTGAATTGATTTGTGTGGTTTAGTAGCACCTGAAAATTAAGGTAGCCTTAAGTGGTATGGCTACATAATCTTTTTGTTCTGCGCTTGCAAAATATTATCTGGTTTACATGATGGAATAGGCCTGAGCAGTTTCACTTTTTGCACATCACAGGTTTGTTTAGTAATCACTCATGAATCAGATCACTCACTGTAGGGGAATCTTTACTGGCATGCAAGTGCAAAATCTGCTTTTGCATGGAGATTTTGGGATTTGGCACTTTCACGTGAAAATGAGATGTTACCTAAAAAGAAAGCCTACCTGAATTTTCATTCTGCAATGAAGAGACAAAAAGCCAAATGTTTTAGTCCAATTTAGTTGTGTATAGAATACTACTTATAGAACACCAAGTGTTTATAGAATGCGTTTACCAGTAAATGCAGCATTTTGGAAAAAAAATCTCATTTTTGAAGACTACTCAATAATAGCATAGCAACTTGGATAGTTTAGTCTCACCACTAGCCCCAGTTCCTGGAAGAGTCATGTGGGGGAGGGGGGTGTGTGTTTTTTTTTTTTTTTTTTTTTTAAAAAACGCTGGCAATACATTGCTGATCTCAATGAAAAGAGGAAATTCTGGTCTGTTTCGTAACTGGAATGATGCAATATTGTATTGATAATGAAAAGTAGATGAAAACCGGACTTGTATTAGGGCTATATATACATAAAGTGCATAATACTACGCTTTTTCTCTAATTGATGTCTCGAGGGTCACTAGACGTTATTCTGAAAGGCATAAGAAATGGTTTGGTTCTTCAGCAAACTATTTTGATTCTTTATAATAAAGATCCTATGAAGAACTTTGTTCTTATATTCATCTATTAGTGCTAAATACATCTTTAAATGCTTTTATGCTAAAATAGATTAGAGCTGATGGCCCTCATCTGAATGTTGCCTTCTGGTGCATCTAGCAGGGTAGGAGGGGGAGAATTTCTTGGAGGCCATGTGTAGGTTTCTGAATCTGAGGTTAGTTCAGTGAGAGTCTTGATTCCTCAGAAGTTTTGCACAGCCCTTGGACCATATTAATCTCTCATTAATCATAAAACAATGGGATTTCCTGGGTTCTTGAAGCAAAACGGTCTTTGAGTACCGTGACAGCCCAGTCTCTGTTTTAGAGGCTATTATGTCCTTCTGACTTCATATAGCTCTGCACGTATGACGTCTGGACGTTTTAGTCTTTCACATGTTCGTGCTCACAAAATACCGTTAAGACACGAATATGGTAATATAGCAGTTTGAGCCGGACAACAACACAGAGAGAGGAGACTTAGGAAAATAAGCAGAGCATGGAATTTGGATCCAGATGTCCCAGCTATCTGATAACTTTCCTTAGTTGTTGGACTGTGCAGCACGACAGTGTTAAGAGCTACTTATTGTCCCTCTTTTCTCTCATTGGCATCATTCCAAACGGGAAAAATGTGACATCGGGGAAAATGAAGAGGTTTGGCAGAGGTTCTCGCTTGTGGTTAGGAGAGTGGGTGGAGGCTCTCCTTTCTGTGTGTAAATTGGGGATTGTATTAGTCATACTGTGCCCTTTGCCACATGACTGGCTGATGCTGGAAAACTGGAGTCGCACACTGTTTATAGCGTCCCAGTTCTAGCTCTGGAGTAGAGCAAGGTCTGCCCCACAGGAGTCAAGCTGTGAGCTGTGCCCCTATGTTGAGTCAAGTAATCATCTCTGCTGCATCTGCGTTATTACTCAGCAAGATGTCATGACTGGGGGTGGTGGAAGTCTTGTATTACAGTTTAGGAAAGGGACGAATTTAGAAAGGAAGCAGGAGTACAAGATACCTTGTCATATAACTACCAGACAAGTTGGCCTTTCGGGCAGCTTCTGCTCCTCTGCTTTGCTGTTTCTTGTTTAGACGTGTTCTTGCATCAAAGGCTGTACAGAAGAATTTACTCTGTTACAGGGTATTATGAATTTCTTACCCCCTGTCTCCCTGCAGTCTCACAAGGGAAAACAAAAATCACCGACTGTTTGGTAGTATTTGTTTTATTGTCATGGACGACTTAAGAATGTGTAACTAAATCAAATCTCAGTTGTGACCGTCTCTGCTCTTTTCTTTGCAGAATCAGTGTATTGTATTTCTGAAACTAGGAACCGTTTGAATGATTCTGTGCAAGGTTCTAAGGGATCTTGCTCAAGTACAGCGAGTGAGCTCTTGGGAATTATCAATACCGAAGCCTGGCTGGGGCAACTCCCTGCTCTGAGGAGGAAAAAATCACTAGCATCCACTCTTTCTAGTTTTTGCTGCTAATGCCAGTGCTGCTGCATAGGCCAGTCAGCAAGCAAGAGCATCTAAAGGATGAGTCATTCTCTTCAGAGACTGAACACCAATGCGGTATACCAGTCGCATATGCTTGGCACCATGCTGTTCTTTGAAACATTTCTCCTAAGGCTTACAAGAAATGTACACCTTCCGCAGAGGTTAAATCAGGGTGGTAGTGCAGTGCTTTAAACAAGGCTTCAGTGGTTATTAAAGGTAAAAGGTTTGTAATCACAGAAGTGTTTTTTTATTTTTTTAGTATGCAAATAAAACAAGTCATGCAATGTCTAGACATAATGTGTTCTTTTTGTCAGCATTATGCGATCTACAGAGCCACATTTCTCTTGAAATCTAAAGATCCAATTTTCTGTTTCTCTTTACAGCTGGATCAGTTGGCTGTAGATGCTGCAAAGGAGAAGAGAGATATGGAGCAAAAGCACTCCACTATTCAACAAAAGGTACTTGAGAGAATGTAAAAGATAGAGTGAACACACCTTTGCATATACCTTTTTGGCGTTTCTCTTCAGCAGTGCATCTCTGCATTAAAACTGCAAGGGATAGTATCTTTAAAGTGCAGAGAAATAGCCTCATAGATCATTAAGCATAGAGTTGGACTGCAGACTTTTTTTTTTTGTGTTATGGAACTAGATACTATGTTTCTGTCAAAACAGAAAATGAGCGTAAGTAGAATGGCGGAATTTACATGAATGCTGGGACATCTAAACATTTCATTAGAACTCTAATTTGAATGACATCTTGGATTCAATGTAGTTGTAAAAGTTGTCGTCATTCCCTCCTGTATATCTGTAGAAGTAGTATTTACGCTCCGCAGTCCTACAAGCATATATATTACTTTCTTCCTAGACTGTGCCAAATAAGAGTATGGTGCTTTGATGTAGAGAGTGGCAGCTGCTATTGCGTATAAAGAGCAAAAGTAAACTTCTGAAAAGACCGTCTGATGTGTAATATTCAGTTATATGCAAATGTGAAAGCTGAGTGATAACATTAAACTGCTATTTTGGGCAGACTTGTATATGCAGTAATTCCTTTTCTTGTTCGTTGGGGAAAAATGTAGATACTTCACGTGGTTGGGGGGGAATGACTTCTGTTGCTTGGATGTTTCAGAAGCTCTAGATCAGTATTGATTTTGCAGGTATAATGCTAGAAGTTAAAAATATTTCCACTGAACTCTCCGATAGTGAGCTAATATTTCAGGTACTTTTGAAAGAGATTAGATACCAGTTTAAAGGTAATGCAACACTTCTTACTCTCATTCAAATACATTTTTATGTGATCTGTTCAGGTGTCACAAATTCAAAAAAAAAAAAACCCACCCTTCAATTAAAATGAAATCTAATGAATATATGAAAGAAATTCAGTAGTGAGAACATGCTAAGAATAGAATGATTTAGGTAAACTTAGTAGGAGTCACTTTTTTCCACTAAAATAAATATTGACACTAGTTGCTGATGTTTTTGTCATTTCATCTCTCCAGTAGTTGGTGGGAAATTTAGGATTGCCTAAACAGTGTAATTGGCAGACTGGTTTCAGGGCAGTGCTGTTGTGCTGTATGTGTAGGCAGATAGAACACAACTACAGACAAAGAAGGGATATTGGGAAAAAGACAGAATTAAGAATTAATTTTTTTATGTTCAAATTTAGTCTTATTGAGCCCAAATAAGTTCAGTTTTAGGTGCGGGTAGTAGCTGTGGGCCGCTGGAGAAAAGTCGCGCTTGGTGAAAGATGTAGGTTACGGGCAATGCATCTGTAATTGGCCATAGAGATAATAACTTGTTATCATGATTTATGGTCATCGCTATTGCTGATGATGTTTACATTTGTTACTTTTGTTTTGTTTTTCTCTTTAATGCTGCTTAAGGCTGCTTTGCAGGTAAATGACTTCTAATAATATCAACAGCTATTGAAAATCTAGTAAAAATTTCAGACTTCATGAGACTTGATCTACTATATCTGTATATATAAAATTTTTTATTGTTTCTAATACAAACAAAGAACAAAAGGACATATGTAATCCTATTTTAATTGAATGATAACTTTACGCTCCCCCCAAAATAAAATCAGGACATTTGGATGGTGTTGTATATTGTTCTTAAGTTTTGTGTTTCAGGTCATGCATGTTTTGGATGTCTCCTGCCCTTGTTAGTCAAATCATCCATGTATTTTTGTGATGATAATGCCTAAATTTGTGTATCTAGCCTTTGGAAGAAGACACGCTTTAGTGGAAAGTCCTCTTCTTAGATATACCTCCTAAAATCACTTTCCTGGTTTCTTATTCAAATCAGATGTGGGGTGGACCTTGTTTTTGATGGCACTTCCGTGCTTTTCCCAGCCTTCACGCCCAAGTGTGTTTCCACATAATCTTGAACTGACTTAGACCTTGGATCTTGTCCCTTACGGTGTTGTTCGTCATCCAGTCAACTTCACCTGGATGGCAACCTGGTTTTCTATTCTATTTTTTCTTGCGTCCTCTCATGTTGCCATGTACTGTGCTGCCCCTTAGGCATATGTTCCCAAGTCTTCCAGTGTCAAATCCTTCCATCTTTTATAACTACTACAACTTCTACTTCTTGAGTTGTATGTTCCATGAAGTGTGTGTTCTTAGTAATAAAAGCTTTAGTCTGATGCCTTGGAATGACGCCTTTTCTTTTCTTCATTGTATAGATAAAGAGCAGTCCCTAGTCTGAAATTTATAGATATAAGTATGTGTGTGCACGCACCTACCACCTGTGTACCGCTCCTCTACCTGTGTTTGCATATGTGTTTGTATTCATGCAGAATAATAGTCAGCATCCCTTTTAACAGCATCTGGCTGTTGTCAGAGAGGCAAGTGTGAAAGTTGCAGAAGGGGCTTGGCTGACAGAATAGTTCGATTTCTCTTTGAAGAGAGCTGGTATTTATTTCTTGTTTTAAGTTTTGGTTGTGCTCTATTTACTTAGCTACTCTGCAAGAAACAATTTGGAAAATATGAATTTTTACTCATTATCTTGGAGCAACGCATACTATAGATTAGCCTAGAAAGGTCTGCTATGTATTTTTTGTAGCGTTAGTGTTGTCAGTATCACTGAAGACTGTTTAAAACTCTTGTCTCCTGAGCGGTTTGATGCAGCCCATTATTGCAGTAATGGGTTGAATTATGAAATAATTTAAAAATCATTTAGACCTGTCGACAGCATAATGATTTTGTTGATTTTGTGACATAGTTAATAGTTCTAAACACAGGGAAATGATATAGGAGAAAACATTTTCCTTATATTTGAAGTACAGTTTTCATTGCATTCAAACACCTCTTTCATACAAAAAATGATGGGAGAAAAAATCTACCTCTAAAGAACTGTTCGGGAAACAGCTGGAGTGAGAATGGTTTGGAAATTGTAACACCTCGACTAAATGAGCTGATAGGAAACCAGATGCTACCACAGTCACAAAGCAGACGTAAACCAAAACTGCTGTTGGGAAGCAACACAAACTAATTCCTGTCACAGAAAAATAAAGATGTGCCAGTATTTCAAATGACTTCTGTGTTTAGTAACTATCTTGACTTCTCACACTTTATCTTCGACTGTGAACCTTATTTCTTGTGGGTTAGTTGTTGTCATCTTGCGTTTTCCCTCAAGGGAGTTTCAACTTAAGTATGACAAACATCTCTTGCTTTGCCTGTGCCATGAGATGGGAATAGAAGCAACTTCCTAAAAGGGGGATTTGCAAAATTAATTTTTTCTGTATGGTATGTACTGCAGTAACTTTTCTTTCAATTTATTCTTTTTGGGGGTGTGTTTTTTTTTTTTTTTATGTATGTCTATGCCTGATTCTTCACTCAGTCTCCCCCACTTACTACCTTTTAAAAAGCCTTTAAAGTTCTGCTCCTTTCAAATGGAGAAAACCAATGTCTTTAAATACAAATGCAATGTTAGAGTGCTGATACACACCCCTGTGATGGACTGGTAAAATGGCTTGAATTCAATCTTTTGACTTTTTAGTAATCTTCATATTGGAAATGAATTTAAAACTCTGCTGCTGAGGAGTAGGATTCTTTTGCTTTGATCTTAAGAAAATTATATGTAGAGAAAAAGAAAGAAAACACACAACCTATGAAATAAACGCAGTCCATGTGATAAATTGATAAATTCACGTACAAATGCAGTCACTGAAACATGGCAAGGTAAGTATTCTGTGAGCCACTAAATTTGTATTAAATACAGAAATGAAAATTGTCTTGCCGTTACATACTGCTTTCCTATTGTTTACAGATTTAAAAAAGGGCAGAAGAGCGCACTGTGCATCTCACCTACATAGGCCGCTTCATCTACATGTTTCTTTTCCAGTAGCTGGCAAACATTTAAATTTTTAAAGAGTAAACTTTTAAATGAGTATCAGAATAGAAACCATAGCTGTTCCTTACTTTAAAACTGAATGAAATGTAGCGGAGCACTTTGGTGTAACTTTCATAATGCTGGTTTGATTTTTCTTAGTTCCGACTAGGTAAAACGTACTCTAGTCCTAGCTGACACCGAATTAGCAAATAAATGCCGTTTAAGCTAATGCAGGCTCTTCCAGCTGTATGTTCACTTAAGGAATATAAAGTTCTGAATCATGTGAAGTGACTGTGTGTGTTAACATGTGATTCTCTTATACAGAATGCTGGAAAGATATGGATGTATTTCTCCCCACCCCCTGATTATTTTTCATAATCCATCAAACTTTTCCATGAGCCAAGATAAAAATAAGTTATAATGTGACTGCTTTCCCCCTATTCTTTAATTATGAAATAAGAGACTATAAAATCAGACGCTGCTTATCTAGCTCTTTTTCTACTGTTACCCTTTCAATTGAAATAAAGTTTCTTTTCTTTTTCTTTTTTTTCCTTGACCACAGCTTTAGCAGTGAAGCTTTATGGATAAAGCATATGGAAGCTTTACTACTTTAAAATTTTATATTTCAATTAGTAGTCTCCTATGTATAGCTAGGAAAATATTAAACTTCTTACATGTACTCTTGTGCCTTACTTAATCTGCTCCATAAGGGTGCAAGTCATCTCATGAAATCCATTAAAATGATACTATATGCACTTTGTGAGGAAGACAGTGTTTTAGGCACCTTGGGATGAGTGTAACAGCAAGATAACAGTTTTACAACAACAGCACAACACTTTGGACTGTTTATTTGTATGTCTTCAAAACCAGCTTAAATCTAGGTTTCACTGGAAAAAGGCACTTGCCGTATCTGAACCAGCTGTCTGAATTGGGAGGAAAATGTGACTGCGCGGTGGCTGGGACAGAAGGGCTGCGGGGCTGTGTCCTTGCCTTTCCTTAGACAAGGAATTGCAGGCATCACTGAGGCAGGAAGATGCAAATCTTTAGCAGGTTTCATTATGTTTGGGAGCTGGTAAGTTAGAGTAATTTATCAAGTTTTTTTGGACAAAAAGGTGAGCTCGGCATATGTAGGATTGTGCTTGAAGGGTGGTTTTTTTTTTTTTTTTTTTTTAGGGCATGAGAAAATAAACTGGAGATTAAATGCTTTTTGAGAATGTCTGTGTAATAAAGCTGTCTAACACTGTGCTAAAACTACACTGTGATAGTTGAATGTTTGTGCTTATTTAAAGTTTTGAATGTTCAGTATGTTCTGAATTGGAAAACAGGCAGGTTATTAAAGTTAAGAAATGCTAAATAATAAATGCCTGAATTTGGGATTTTTAAGAAGCTTTTATCTGTAGTCTGTATTTATTCAGAAGAATATATGGTAGTGATAAAATTCTTGAAATTCTCACGTTTGCAGTGATCTGCTAGTGCAGGAAAAAGTCTAGATTAACATCTTGGACATAATATTTAATTGATTAAGATTGGTCATAGCTGGAAACGTGGGTCACTGTGTGGAATTTGGTGCTCTGCTGGCCTGGGAGCGTGAAAGGCCATTGGGACATTTGTGACCACTTCACTGTCTTGATTAACTAACTCTTGGTTGAGCCATAACTGCTCTTTTTCCCATGCCCCACACCCTTAGCGTATGGCAGAACAACGTTTCCTCTTCAGTCTTCTCCGTAGCCTGTTAAAATGCTGCCCCCGACAAGGCTCACCAGTGAGGAAAATAATCGTACAGACTCCATCTCCTCCTTCCTTTCAGTCAGTTCTGGTCATGCTGCTTTTTGACCGCTTAATGTGCGGTTAGGATGAGGTTTCATTTAGTTATATATTTTTCCCTAAAGTAAAATAACTGAAGGATGAAGTTGTTCAGCTTGGATATAACTGTTCTGGATTTAAAGGTGCCTCATCCTTTGTAGCTTAACTATCAGCATATATGAGAGTAAGTTGTGTACCAGAAAAATGGTGCGCAGGCTGGAACGTTACATAGGATTGTTAGTAGTTTTCTGAAGCTGTTTTGGTTTTTTGCGTAACCTTCTCCCCCCACCCCCATATAGAAGAGGAGCAAAGTGCAAACCAGAGATTTACAGAGGTACTTTTTGTAAAATGCAAATGTCAGTTTTTATTTTTGTGTATGTTTTGGGGTTTGTTTGGTGTGTTTGTTTTTCTTTATGTGAAAAGCACCTTCTGATGGTACGCAAGAGTGGCAGTCTTGCGCAGTGTCCTGTCTCTTAGCTATTGAAATGTAGGCTCCCCCATTATGAAACTTTTTTCCAGTGATGAGTCTCTCCTGCCCTTGTTAAGGGGAGGAAGAAGCCATGTGTTGCTAGCCAACTTAAATGTAAGTTAGTTGCATGTATATTATCTTGTTCACTGGACATGGCTTATGATATTAAATGATGTTACTCCACGTTCGCTTCTTCATGCATCCCTAGTAGCTGTTAGCCTCCCACTACCTGAACCCCCCAGCTGTTGCCCGGGAAAGAAGGTCCCTGCTGTGTCAGGCAGGATACAAAAGCAGATAATCACCGCATGTGTTACTACTTAGTCTACTCTACCTTCTCCAGAAACATGAAGCAGTTAACCTCCCCCTAAAAAATGTAGGGGTGTACTTGAAAAGAGTTGCTGCTGGACTAAAAACAAAACTACAAAGCTAGGAGTAAGACAAGGTTTTTTTTTCTTGTCCGAGATTATGAAGAAAAAATTACTACTAAGCTCTCATCATCTTTGTCAGCATCCTGATTGCTTTAATTTGAGGATAACATCATCTTTACTGCTGCATGTACTCTAAACTCTGACCCAGCTCGCTTGTCTGGACGATGGAGCTGAAGAGCGTGGCAGCACTACTGGCTTCGTACAGTCCTTGGCCACGGGCTGCTGCTGCTTCTGTGCAGCTTTGACTCCTGTAACTGCGTCCCTCCTCTCCCTTGCCTCACTCTCCTTTTTGTTTGGAATGTATGAGAAACCTTGAATTCAAAAGCTTTTTAAAATATGTTTAAATATGTTTTTAAGTATGTTTTAAATATGTTTCTGGGATGTAAAAATGTTCTAGTGGACTTGATAGTCTCATACTGTGCAGCTTTGGTCGGTGCTGATCCCTGTTCCTTCTCCCATCCATGTGTTTAATAACTTTTGTTAGAGAAATCCTGCTTGTGTTCAAAGCTCAGGAAAGATGCAAGGAAGAGAGCTTAATATTTTTAGTGTGGGAATTAACTGCGTAAAGCAGACGGCGTGGTTTTTAATAGCTGTCAGCCTTTTTTGTGAGTTCATATATGGTGTGTGCTAATCTAACAATGACAGAGGACACTGCAGTTTGCAGTTTCTCCTAGAAAATATCTTAAAATTTTTCTCTAGAATTTAGATAATACTGTGCCCCTTTTTGAGGTGTGGACACCTGGAAACCCTCTTTATGAAATTATAGCCATTTTATATTTCCTTCCTCACTATATGATCTCCAGTTCCTTTTTTTTTCTTTCTTTTTTTCTTTCCCTCCTTGTATCTTTCCTAGTTCTAGAATGCAACTTTTCTGATCCAGAGACTTTTTCTGTCTTCTTTCTTCCTCTTCCCCTGCAGCTTTTGAAAAGGTGGTTGGTGAAGTAATTAAACGCGGTCTTACTGTTCCAGATCTTATAAAGTAAAAATAATCTTCAGCATCTTGATCTCCTAGAAATAGTATTTTATGAAGTGGCAGAAGCAGAGTCATGGCATGACTAGCGAACGTTGCAAGCAAAACTGTTATTCCCAAATGTTTACTCTTTTTGACATTAATGCTGCTAGTATTTGAAAGTTAATTGAGACTACAACGTATCTTTCTTGTTTTGATTCTTTTTACTAGGATTACTCCAGTGACGATACTAAATTAGAATACAATGTAGATGCAGCCAATGGTATTGTTATGGAAGGTTATCTATTTAAGCGAGCCAGCAATGCCTTCAAGACTTGGAACAGGTAATTCTTCAGAACCTCTCTTTAGTAGTTTATAATGATGATTATAATTGGTTAGGCTAAATTCTGGTCTGACTTACAACCCATGCAACCCACTGGTTCCACAGATTTGCCCAAGATGTTGAGTTTTGACAAAGCATTTGGATTGCTCTGTTAATTACTGTAGAGATGACACTTGCTTGAAAGTCCTTTCTCCTTATTTTCTGTTGTTTTGTTCTATTCCTAGTTGTTTGCAAGCCTTTTTTCTAAGAATGTGTCTTAAAATCTAGAGAAGTCCTGCATATAGAAGACTTATTTTGTGGCCACAGTCTGACTCTATAATTGTGTTTTTGCCTTGCTTTGGGGTTGACACAGAGCAATTTTTGTATAGCGTATGGTATACAAACATAAACGCAAGGACAGGGAAAATAAATGTTAAAGACTTAAAATTAAATGAAAGTTCCCTAGCCCGTAGAAGCAAGGAAACACAGTGAGGGACTCATGCTGTTATTTTTCTTGAAAAATAAATATGTAATTGTTAACCTTTACAGTTTCTGTGCTCTGTGCAATGAATTCCTCTTAGTAGTTCTGGCAGTCGTGCGGGGAATTTAAAATAGACTGTGAGTCTTGTCTCTTTAACAATGTGAATTTTATGATTATTTAAACATTTTTTTTTCCTCACTGAACAGGATTTCTTTTGCCTTTCCAATGGTGTACATTTCTGTAAGGAAACATTATATATGCTGGAGCGCTTACTCTGTAGGTGGATGCAGTTCTTGAATTCTGAAGTAAATTTGCTTTGATACTCCCCTATTTGCAATAGTGCTTTTATTAAAGTATTCTTGTGTTTCAAAGGCCAGAATGTACATTTGGATATATTGTTGGGAATGTGTATTTCATATTCGGAAATGCGTATTTCAGGGGCTTACTAGTGAACCTTATATTAATACAGAAGCCTTTACAAGGACTAAATAGCATTAGCTGGATTTTTTCACATATGCTGGGTTGTTGACAAGGTGTTTTATTATGGAAATATTAAAATGAGCAAAAAATACTTTTTATTTTAAATGAAAGTCTCTTTGTTAATCAAGTGGACAGTTGCTGGTCAGCCTGAATCGTTGATGCTGCTGGTAGGCTCTATCAGTAATACTAATAGATGCCTCTGTTGTTGCTACAGAGCGGTCATTTTACTGACAGACGAGGCTGTTGGGGTTGGTAGAACGTTTTTGTTCAAGTATTTAAGAAGCTAAACATTACTTAACGTTTTCTGTGTATTTGGAAGGGCATTTATTGTGGTAGGGCCTCTTGTAACTAGTCCTTCCATAGCTAACTGTGGTGTTTCTTATCTTGCGCTTGAGGAATAAATTATTATTTAGTGTTATTCTTATTTCTCCTGTAAAATGTATTTTGAAGTAGACATGACCTGCTGCAGTCTGGACCACAAAAGCGGATAACAGGTTTGTTAAGACCTAATGTTTCCTAGTTCTGCTAATTCAAATCATGTTAGTTTGAAACAGCAAATGTTAGTTTGAAACGGCAAACCTTTTAGAAAGGCTGGGCTTTGTTCCACTCTGAATAAAGCCAAGGTCTGGCTAGCAGGCTGAAGAACAGCCCTGCTGAAGGGGACCTGTGGGCCTCAGAGGCGGCGAGCTGAGCAGCACCCGGCAGTGGGGCCTGGCAGCAAAGCGACCGGCAGCTTTGTGGGCTATGTTAGCAGGACCCCCCAGTCGTTAGATTGAGGGAAGTGAATATATCCCTCTTTACTTGGCCCTCGTTAGACTGCATCTAAAAGCTTGTGTCCAGCTTTGTGCCACCCCCCCCCCCCCAACCCAGTGCAAGCAGCACATGGGCAGACTGAAGCAGGTTTAGCAGAGGGTCACCAAGATGGTCAGGGCTGGAGTACTTGCCCTTTGAGGAAAGGCAGAGGGAGCTGGGGTTGTGCAGCCTGAAGAAAAGGCTTGGGGGAACCTAGAAGCAGCTGTCCAAACCTATGATGTGGTTATCAGTAAGATGGAGCTAGGTTCTATACAGCCATGCATGGGACAAGAGATAGTGGGCGTACATTGAAATGGGAGGATGCAACTGGTAATATTACAAGAAAAATCTTCTCACCTTGAGGACAGTCAAGCACTGGAAGAATTTTCTAAGACTGGTTTTGCAGCCTCCATCCTTGGAGGTAAGTTTTCAAGCTCTGAGCAACCTGATCTGATCTCACAAGTGACCCTGCTTTGAGAAGGAAGGTAGACTAGAGACCTCCTGGGATCCTTTCCAGCTTTAATTATTCTGTGATTCTCTGTACCTGATAGAGGGCCCTGGTATCTTGGAACATCACAATTACAGCAAATTGGGATTGCCTCACTTAAATTCCTGCAGACGAATACGAGGGCTACCAGAGTCAGTCAGCCTGTGTCTGTTGGCAAGCAGTGAGAACTGGGAGAGTACGTTTGTGGAACACGTTTGGTGCTGCAGTCCTAGTGTCCGCGTTTGTACGTGTTTCTGAGGAGTTTTGCTTTGGACTATCTCTAGTCTGGTCCTGCAGCCTGAACACGCGCTTGCAGTTGTAATAATATCTAGGTTAGTTTTATCCAAATAGGACTCGAGAGTTCTCCAACACAACTCTGTGGGAGCCAAAAAATGGTAAAGGGAGAAAACTAGAGGATGTGCTTCTACAGCATAGCCCAATCTGAACTCAGATGCTAGTACAAGCACAGTTTGAGAAAACTCCACAGTAAAAGGGTAGGGGGTTGCCCCTAGCTGAATCTTCAGCAGACTAAAGAGCCCTTTTTGTGAAGTCTTGTGTAGGATTGACTGCAGCCTCTTGATGATATCTGAAGACAAACCTGAGGCTCCCTCTCTGGGTTATCTTCTGGTCGTCATATAGGCCTTGCCCTGTGGAGAGGGAGCAGAAGGAAGCAGGATAGCAGTTTTAGTGTTGAAAGGTAACTGAGAAATACTCTCCCTCCACTTGGCTTCATACCTATTTATACAATGCGCCTATCTTTCCTTAAGATGATAAAGAGTAGAATTGGATTAAAACTAATTTCAGCCTGTTGAAAATTTAAGACTGACGGAAAATAAAGGTAGGGAAGTCATAATTAAATCAGGATATACAATGACATTCTGTTGGGATAAGCTTATAGATTTTAACATATACTATCAAAATACAAAAAATAAGTAATTTAAGAAAGCCAAGGTAACTCACTAATGAGTCGGGGTATCTGCTTTTAAAATACACTTTATTTGCTTTTTTTTTCCCCCCTATCATGAATATACAGTAAAACTAACCCTTTTCATCTTAGATCCTCTATAACATATCTCATTGTTAATGAGAGGCTAGTTGGATGTTTCAGAATTACGCAGTGAGTGATATTGGGCGTGATAGTGTTTAGAAATAGAATCAATCATATGTTAGCGTTGTCCTTAATGTATTTACAGACCATTACTAATTGTTGTGAAACTACTGAAATATCCTACATAAAATAAACATCAAAAATTCTTCTTAATGAAGACAATTTTTAATTAGTTCCTGAATATAGCCCTACTTTCTTTGGTTTTTAATGAAATGGAGAAGTATTTTTAACTTGTGTTTCCAAGTACGTTTGTAACTCAGTTTGGTACATGTTAGGTACTGCAGCGGTCATTACCTGTTTCCACTGCCTAAGACTGATGATGGAGTGCTTTATTGACATAGTGCTGTAGTTTCACTTACATAGAGAACTCTTAAAGTTCACTATGTGTCAAGGGCTAAGAGTGTATTTCCAGTCACTAGGTAGAGTACAGAAGACCATATCATTGACTTAAATTGTCTTTGTGCATAAAAATATAAAATGAAAACCTGAAGCAGGAAGCATTTAGAGAACATGTTTTTTGAGGCGATTTATAGCTGAAATCGGAGACCCCAAGAAGGACAATATGTTTTCAAAGTTCTTCTCAGGTAGGTAGACTGCTTTTTCTTACCTTATGCCCATCTTGGCTGGGGGTGGGAGGGGGAAATAACCGACTGAAACAAAATCAGAAGAATTTGCCTGGAAAGGAACACCGGAATTTCCTGATGTTTTGAACCTCAGGCAACAGCACTGACCTTCCTTGCTAACTGCCAGTTGCAATACTAGTTGTAATTTGTATTGAATATGGTAGTTTCTCTTTTCCCTCCGTTAGTATTGGTTGGTATTTTGATATTTCCAGCTATTTTAAAATACTCCTTAAGGCAATTAATTAATTAGAAAAAATCATTGTAGTTACAAGTACTAGTTTATACTTCACAGCATTAAAAACCTAAGAGGAAAGGAAATGATGCTATGAATTTTGACTGGGTTTGATACATCGGTATGATTCTGCCTAACAAAATAGAGATCACTCTCTGATGCTTCTGTGTGCGTGTCTTGGTATATGAGTGCATGGACACAACAGTGGATTACCCTGGGGAAAGTCAAATTGCTGCAAAAAAATTTGAAGAGTGACAAATCTGCTCCAATGGGTGAAAACCTATTTTATGTTAATCTAAGCTAACTTCTCAGTACCATTTAGTTTCTGCCTGGGGCAGCTGGTAGCTTAGGTACAGTTGTCCAAAGATTTGTAGTTAATGTTAGGCTTTTGCATAGAGTTCCCTAGTTTTGGGATAGCTCTGTATGACACTGGTTTAAGAAACAAATAGTTTGTGAGTGGGCTACCATGAGAACTATTTACAGAGTGACCTTGCTGCGTTTTTGGCTCCTGTTCACGGCTGGCTGTAAGAGCTGAAGATTTTGGAATCTCTTTACAGTATGGCTAAATGGGTTGTATATAATGTATGTGGGTGTTTCAGATAATAGTTTAGCGAAAACAAAATGATATCTTTATAATGGAGAGTCTCATAGCAACAGTTTGGAGACCTACTGTTTGAATATATGTTTATTATCTTTTAGTAAATGATGTATGTATCTTATAGTGCAAGAGTCAGGAACTGAAATCAGTTGCATTTATTCGTGGAGAGCAGTAAGTGGAAAACTGCTTTGGTTCCTAGAATTGCATATTTAAATAAATAAGTCTGTGTTATGGAAAAAGGTATGTGTGAATAAATGCGTGTGGGGAGGAAAGCCTTTAGCAAATACTAGTATGTTCTGAGTATTTTTTTTTTTTTTTTAGGTTGGATGCATTAAATATTTTCCTTTAATTCTGCTGTATTTTCAGATCATGCTAATTCTTTGCTTGTTTTGCTCATTTGGCATTTTCATTCCTTTTCTTCCTTTCCCTTATGTTTTAATCCTACCCCATTTTTTCACATGACAGGAAAAAGCCAGATCACATCAGGTACCATCCAGCTTCTTTTATACTTTCCCAATGTTTCTTTGGCACGCAAAAAGCTCTTAATTAACCCTGCATTTAATTTTGATTACTTGCAATGGATGTAAAGTGGCTCAGTCTAAGAAAAATAACAGAAGGATTCTGCCTGGGATGACAGTACCCCTGCTGCTCAACACCTTTAAAAGAATTAGTGGAAAGATTGATCACGTGCTCAGAAGCTTGAGTGCAGAAACTAAGTTTATGATCGCTTTAATGCCTTTACGGCTGAAAGTAACTCAAATGTTTTGCCTTTTTCCAGATTAAGTTGGTGAGATTTTTCTCATCAGTTATATTGGAATTAAAAATGGCACTTTTAAATGTTGTGCTTTTTTAATCGTTCTGTTTTATTTGCATGCTGATGGCAAGTAGTAAACAGAATTATCGCTCTTTGAAAAATCAATAAAAACGACTCAAATTTTATATAAAATTCCAGTTGTTTTTTTCCTTCTTAGTCTTAATTCTCCTTTCTCAGAATTTGAAACACTCTTCACTGGTTTTTGTAATTTTCCTATTTAACAAATTGATTTATATATTTTTTAAATGTGTTGGTATAAATGAGAAGAAAATAGTTAAGTTTCTAAACCTGCACAGCTTCATTTAAGTACTTCCGTAAATGCTGATCAACATGAAATACTCTAAGGCTTCCCTAAGTGTATTTCCTCCTTCACCATGCTTTTCTCTGACTTTTTCAGTGACAGAATGACACATTTAAAGAAACTTTGATAACACTCAGTACTTACAGCACACGTTGTCCTAAAGACTTAATCCTTCAAATTAAGGGCAGAGATGCTATATCCTGAAACACCTTCAGTCGGAATGTTATACCTCAAAAGTTCCTGGTTGTCGCTGCCTTTGGCAGTGCACTGCCCGTCTGCTTTGTGCAGTTGTGAGTGATGTTTTTTGATGGAACTTGGTTAATTGGGTCCAAACTTTCTGAATTATCTCAAAAGAACCTTGTTACTTTGGCCTCAGTAAAGCTGCTCTGGTGCAGACACGTTGGACGTGAGGCTAACCCTTTTCACTTATATTGCAAAGCATATAATGAACTAAATTAACTTTTTTCCAGTGACGTAACCTTACGTAAGGCCAGTTCACAAGTGCAAACTGCAAGTTTCACTATATTCTAAATGGCTATTTATTTCCTCCCGGCACCCTCCACCCCCAGTAAATATTTCTTAAAAATTTTTTTTTGGTTTGAGCTACAACGTTTTTCTTAAACATATTTCACTTCTCTACTGGGGGGCGGAAGTCATGGAATACTTTGAAAACTTTTAGACTAGACTCTGAAGATGACAATTTTGTACAAGTTGTGTACTCATTTATATCCAGCTTATCAAATTGGAGCTTACTTACTGCGATGACTCACTAAATATGTGAACGCACAACAAATGAAGCATTGTATTAATGAAACTAGTCACGCTACTTAATGGTTATTATTAGGGATTTGTTCCATTGCATGTTATCCTGGGGCAGTGCTGCGTTCTTCCTTTGTCTCTTAGGCACTGCTTTTCATGTTTCTAATTGGTGCTGCGTTCAAAAGCAAAGAATAAGCCTGGGTTTATTTTCCTTTTCTGGTCTGCTTTTTAGTTGAATTATCTATTTAAACATTAGCAATAACCTCCCTTTTGCTTGGATTAGAGGCTTAGTTACTGCATCTGATTGATTTCCCCCTCCCTTTTTCTTTTTTTTTTTTTTTTTTTGTAATAGATAGTAAAGGTGATACCTTTTAAATAGCAGTGACCAAAACAGTTCTTGTTAATAAATTGATGAAGTAGTTAACTTTTTGTATTATACTGTTGAATTATCTTTACCCAAAGGGATGACCATTATTATGCTGGAAATCCAGTGTTAAAGGAGATCTAGCTGCTTTTTTTAATTAACTGTATCTGCACAACATTTGAAAAGAATAATTTTTAAAAGGTAGAATCTCACCTGTCTAATAGGTACTAACTTTTCTAACAAAGAGTGGATTTTCTGATATGGATCTAACTTTTTTTGTGTATCTTAATTTTCACCTTTGTTTTTCCTTAACAACTTTTTATGCTGTATTTCCTGAATGGCTTGTGGTGATTGAATGAATGGAGCCCTCTTGTTACTAACCTAGTGAGCTATAGCTTGATATTCAGCAGTTCATGGAGAATTACAAGACAGGTTGGAATAGCATCTTTTGTGTACTGTTAGCATTCAAGCCAATTAGCAGGGCAGAAAAAAGTGATGTGCTGTATGAGCTGGGTATTTGACCTTAATATGATGCGATAAACGCAGGTTCATATTACAAGCCTGAACAAAGCAAATAAGTCTAAATTTCACTGCAGTACTGAACAATTTTTTACATTCTCAAACTTTTTCCAGTTCAAAAACAGATGATCAGTTAACTTTTCTTATTTTGTGCATCCCCAGGAGAGCTAGAAAGGGTTGACTATGTTTGTTCGTATTTTTATTTTTATTATTTGGTGGCCTGATGAACACAATTGTTGACAGTCTGAGATGCTCATAATTCTTCCTGAATATGAGTAACTCTTTAGCTTTCAAGTGTTGCAATGCTATGGTATGAATTGCGTTCTGTTTGAACACAGAGCGTCACATTGAGGGATACAGTTCGGTGTGGTTTTTTTTTTAATGTTATCTTTTTCTGAATTTTTGTAGGATGCCTTAATTTAATCTCTTTGAAATAGTTTTCCATGAAATTGAGGCTTACTTTAGGATCCTACTTAGAATACTTTTGGTGTTTTTGCTCAGTCTTTTTTTATTTCATCATCTAAAGTTTTAAGAAATGTCAAATGTAGTGAGACATTAAATACTTATATGGGATGGCAACGCTGTGTCTCAGTAAATGTAGTGAAGTTCTACTCTTGAGCATATTTCAGGAGTGAGTGAGGAGTTTATATAGTTTCAGTATTCTTGTCTGTCCAAGTATTTGAACTGTAAATCAAATAATCACTTAAAACTTTAACTTGCTGTTAAAATACTTAAAACATTTTCATTTCAAAGAACATGCACTTGTATGATAGCTTAACTAATGTTGTGATAACACGAATGTATTTGTTTAGGACTCAAATGATTTAAACCTTGCTTTATCTTTTTCTGTTTTGTCTCTGCTTTTCCCTTGTTCCATTGTTCTCATGGAATCCTTGCCAAAACTGGCTGCGGCATTACACAGTGTGTGAAGTCTCCTATGCAGTGTTTCTCTGTAGACTGTATGTTAGTACACTTCAGTCAAATAAGCACTATAAAATCAGTTATGTATTGTTTGGATGTCTTTTTATTTAAATAGGCGCTGGTTCTCGATACAAAATAACCAACTTGTATACCAGAAGAAATTTAAGGTGGGTACCGAGAATGGGCTTGGGATAGTTGGGTGTGGGTGATGGTTTCCCTCTCTGCTTGCGGGG